AGGAGCAAGGATGCTACTAGGGGCTCCTGGCATCGCTACTGGGAGCAAGGATGCTACTAGGGGCTCCTGGCATCGCTACTAGGAGCAAGGATGCTACTAGGGGCTCCTGGCATCGCTACTAGGAGCAAGGATGCTACTAGGGGTGCTGGCATCGCTACTAGGAGCAAGGATGCTACTAGGGGCTCCTGGCATCGCTACTAGGAGCAAGGACGCTACTAGAGGCTCCTGGAATTGCTACTAGGAGCAAGGGCCCTGCCGGGCTCCAGCACTGAGGAAGGGGCGAGGGATGTTTTCGATCGTAAACAAATCTTCACAACGATTTGTAAAGCGGCTGTTTCCTTCTGCCTTAAAGCAAGAAATGCATTTTTAATGCAAGACAGGACACCTCTTTTCCTTCCCTTCTCTGAGAACTCCTTTTGAACTCCTAAAATAAGCAGGAAGGCTTTCGCTTGAACAACGGTCATCCAACGGTCCAACCCTCCCTGTCTCTGGTCGCCCATCTGCCTACTGCTTCTTGTTCAACTTCCTTCGCTGCTTGAGTTCCTTCTTGCGGCGAATCTTCTCTCCTCAAAGAAGCGAGGAGCACAGTTCTCCCTTCTTCAAGACGAGTCCCGAAGAGGTGGTTGACCAGTTGACCAAAGGCATTTGTCTTTCCAAACGTTGACTCAAGATTGGACATGGTCACGGCACGAACGATGGTTCAAAAAAACAACGCACCAAGTCCGGCGGGGCAGTCTGGGCAGTCTGCGGAGGTTCTCTGACTTCCATGCACCGGAATCTCTTTTTAAGGCTTCGTGCTCACACCGTAACTGGGTGGAAACCGAAAAGACCCACCTTCTTCACATGTGACTTCACCAGCTTTCCAGCTCCCACCCCCGCTATGCCCCTGCCTGGTGGGCAAAGATGGCAAAAGGCACACTCGAAGCCACTTTGGCATCCATCCTCCAATTGACACGGCAAGCTTGACGCGGCCGAAGACGCGTGTGTTTGAATCACCAATCTTCCAACAAACAAACACGAGACACTGTTACTAGTAGCGATGCACTTGTTCCTAATAGCTTCTTGTTACTAGTAGCGATGCACATGCGGGTCACCTTCGCAAGGCACTCTCGACCCAAGGGAGCCTTTCATCACACCTGTCTCAAGGTCGAAGTCTCTTGGCCAACTTCGTCAAACGATCCATTAAGTCACACAGCCCCAGAAAGATGGAAGAAGATGGTCTTCCGTACTTGCCTGGGATGACCAAGAAGTGACGCCCTGAAACACTGAAGCCCCCCACACTCATTTTGCTGCTTCGACGCCTTTTTTTGCCCCACGTGCCAATCTCCGCCCAGTGAGCAGCATCGTCCCTGACTTGTACCCCACACATCACGTAGATGAATCAAAGCCACGATATGAACAGGATCTTATAAAATCCCTGCAGCCCCCTCGCGACAAGCTTGGAGGTTCTGTTGACATCCGACCTCTGACCTCGTACCCCACCTCGACCTCCCCACCGACTCGCCTTGTAAAAGAAGGCACAGGGCTTGCACGCTCCGAGACCGTGCCCAGCGGAGCCACGCGTTGGCACCTCCGCCTTGGGGGGGAAAGGAGAAAGGAGCGGAAGCCTTTTTCACTTCGGACCAAAGAGGCACGGTTGGCGTCTTCCTAAGAGGTAGGAAAGCCTCACAGGCGGAAGCATCGTTTCCAAAGCAAGAACACCGCCATCGGCTAGTAGGTTTTACAGGCCAGAACACGCAGAACAGCCAGAAATCATCACCCCCAAAGAAAGCGGCTTTGCTTGTGAACCGCTTGGTCCCTGAGCTCGCGGCGCTTGGTACTGTGCTTGCCACATGCACACCTGGCGGTTCTTGGCGTGGGACCGTGGAAAGACCCGCGAAGCTGTTTTGGTGAAACGAAGGTCAAGCGGCATTGGCAACGAACCCGCTGAACTTCCTCATCTTTTACCAGGTGGCCCTTAAACCTGAGGTTTTCACATACAAAAACCAAGTTTTCTGCTAGGGAAAGCTAGGTCATTGATGGTTTGTGGGGGTCCCCGATAGTGCCTCAATTAGACAGAACACGCAAGTCGAAGGGAAGGTAGGGAAGGGAGGGTAAGAAGAACGAGCAGTGGAAGTCAGTGCAAACGGGTTCTCCTCTCCAAAACGAACAACACCCGAAAAAGACCAGCAATCCTCCATCCACATTCACCCACCGTCACCGTTCATCCTTGCAACCACACACACAAATACACCCAACCGGAAAAGGAAACAAACACAAACAAAAAATACAGAAACCAACCATGTCACCTCCCCCGTCCGTCCAACGCGGGGTCGGCCCGGCCGTTCCCCCGTCCAACCGTTCGCCTGCGATGTTCTCCGTGTCCGCAGTGCTGGCCGCACTGCTGTGAGGCGCGTTCTCCGCGTCGGAACGGCTCTCCGGCTCGGGCTCCGCTGGCATCGGCGACTGGCCGCCGAGAGGGACGGGGGGAAAGACGAAGACGTGGTGCCCGAGGTCGGTTTGGTAGGGATCGGGATCAGGAATAAACCGTTGGATCTGTGGTTGGGAGGTCGCGTTTTTCCCCAAAAGTCACCAAACACATCCTGCCGAGGTTTCTAACCGCCGCTTCGAAGGCTAGGACGCTACGTTCGGGGCTCCTGGCCTTTATCCATCGCCGTTGAAGTCCAAGCCCCAACCACCTCCCCAGACCCGAACAACGCTCCTGCCGCGAAAACGTGTCGCGCCGCGCGTGTGGCGCCGCAAGGGCCTGTGCCTTGGCACCAACGGTTGGCGCCTGAAGAAGTGCCAACGGGTTTGACCGACCGTCGATGGTTTAAGAGAAGTTGGATAGACTTTCAGTGATGCATCAGCCCCCGCACAAAGAGGATCAAAACAACTCTGCCCGATAAAGCGATCGTTTACACTCTGATGAAGGGGGCATCAACGTGGTCTTATTCCCCGCGAAGCAGCATTTCGGTGTCTATGATGTTGAGTTACCATACCCTGGCGTGCTGTCCTCACTATACCATGGAGGTGTCATATTTCAGCTGTGCATGTGTCTTCTTGCAAGGTCACATGTGAGGCCCTCAATCCGCCCAGCAATCCGTGGTCGCCCCGAATCGGAACTCATCCGCCCAGCGGCCAAACCAGGGGGTGGGCGGATGGCATCTGAGCTGGAACCACTCCTGGCATGCGTGGCACGCCCAGGCGTTTGGGAGTCTTCGGGAAGATGGTCCTCAACATGTGGCAGATGTCAACAGTTGGGATCTCCCTGGAGATGAGATGGTGCTCGATGGTCCTCCGTTTGACATGATGTCTGTTTGTTCGCTCACTGCGCATTGTATTCACCCTTCCTCTTGTATTAACCCAACCCAGTTGTCTCAGCCGCTGCCCATGCGCCAAGTCTCTCCATCTGAGGCCCGCACCAAAACAGTGGCTGTTCGATTTGCAACGCAGCAGTCCTCAGCCGCCACGGCCAGCCGCCACGGCGGCCGTGAATGGACCACGGTTCCCGAGTGCTTGGAGCAACGGCGCCACTTGGGCGCCAAGAGGTGGAAGGATCCAAGGTTTGGAGCATCTGTTGCATCCTTTGAAAAGGTTCCTGCTTATCTAGCCACATCTAGCCATATCTAGCCGCTCCGCGCCTTACTTCGAAATGGAACCTCCTGGGTGTGGATCAGAAAAAGCTTGGTCCGAACGGGTCGATCCTTCGTTCTTCGTTTCGGTTCTAGTAACTAGAAGCTACGCACGGTGGAGGCCATCGCTATTAGGTTGGAGGCCATCGCTACTAGTAACAATCAAGCCTTTGTAGCTTCTTCGTTTCGGCTCAACGTCTCATCATTTTCACCAGCTCCACCTGTCTGCCGCCAAACACCTCGAAGCCTTTGGTCCAAGCGATCGCTGCACGGATGCCCCGTTCGTGAACAGCCCAGCCACATCTTCAACGTTTCACCAGGGCCTCAGGGTCCGTGCGCTGACGACACCGGACGACACCGGACCACGACACCGGACGACACTGGGGAGAACGGACAGTTGCAAAAACAGGTACCTGGAAGTCTGTTCGACCACTAAACAATGGTGGACCTGGTGTTGTCGTTTAAAATCCTTTGTAAAACGATGGTGGTTTGGAAAAGAAACAATTAAAACAATGATGGCCGGAAGCCTAGGGATGCCTTTTGAAACGAAGGCAAGCGTTTCATGGGTAGTTTCTGCTAGAGACGGTGGATGGTTTTCTTTCTGCGACGTACCGGTACCTGTCGGAGCTCATGTACCTCGATCATGTCCCAGAATTAATGGATTGTTTCAAGGGAAGATATCTAGGGGAAACTCCCATGCTGAAATCACCCTCCGTAGACGACCCTCTATGGGAGTTTTCCCACCATGTTGGCCCCCCCCCCGCGCCTCCCTCGGTCGAATTGAGCAAAGGTCCGTTCCTTTGGGCGAGTTGGAGCCCCAAGCGACGACGGGCTCCTTCGGACCCCTTCCCCCGAACCCATGCGCCGCCGCGGCGGCTGAGCTCGGCGCAGTAGCTGAAGTGCTCGGTGCGAGCCTCGCTGCGCGCCGGCGCCAAGGCGAAGGCCATGGCACCTTGGCCGGGTGATGGGGCGATGGGGGGGGGGATGCGGCGAGGGTGTGCCAATTCAAAAAGAGAAACTCCAGGAGCCGAGCGAACTTCGACCAAAGACCAACATCTCTTTCAGAGATCAAAGGAAGAGCTGAGATTGGGGACATTCAGCCTTGTCAATGCTTGGAAGCCTTCCAACGACCCTCAACAATCCTCCGGAGCTCGGGTCCTCTCCACCATTTTCCGGTCCAAGTGCGCCTGATGGCCCTTTGTGGGGCGTTTTCTTGGCTGGAAGAGTTGGAGAGAGATGGTAGAGAACCTCTCAAAGCACTCTCAAAGCACCAGGTTTCCTTTCGGAACGCCTGACTGGCAAGAATCATCTCAGATCCTATGATTTGGGGGATTTCTCTGTCGAGGGCTGCGACGTACCGAAGATTTCTCTCTGGGCCTCCAGTGGTAGCAGTGTTGAAGCCGGAGTATCCCTGCATGTTCCTTGGACGGAGCGAAACCACCGGAGACCGACTAGGGACTTCTGGTGGATGAGAGGAACTTCTGGGATCGACAAAATGGCACAAAGCAGGAGGATTGCTGGGTGAGGGAGCATTTCGAGGAACACTCGTGAAATGCAAGAAAGCAATAAGTGATCTGTGCTTTGGAATTGGAACATGGAAAATAGGACATGACGGCGACATCTGTAGTTGGCGTGGTTTACTTGCACGGTTGTTGCCACAAACCCTTTAAGCACTCACTCCAAACAGTGGTTAAACAACGGGACATGATCGTTGTGGGCTTCTGAGTGAGTACTGTGAGTTCTTCTCGCGTGAATGGACTCTCCTTCAACACTCATTCCACTGAGTGCCGGGCTGCTGGGAGATTCGTCAGGAAGCAAGATCGAAGGGTTGCTTAAGCAAAGTGTGCTGCGGAGGGCCATTTTAGTAGACTTTATATGTTGGAGGCCATCACTCTTAGGGTGGAGCTCTCTGGCTTGACGACACCTCTTCGCGCCCATATGTGTGGCTGTTTTTCTTTTTTCAAGTTGGACCTTTTTGGAGGTTCCTGAGGTTCCAAGTTTTCACAAAACGGCACATCCTTTAACCCACAAGACCCGTGGCCAAGGTCTCCGCAAAGCAAAAGTATCACAACTTGCTCAGTGCCCTGGTGAAGGACTCATGTCCAAATTAATCGGTCTCTTCGGGGCACCGGATGAACCGCGTTGGCGCGCGCGTTTTCGGCGCTTTGCGCCGGGTGTTCCCCGAGCTCCCCCGGCCGTTGAAGTAGCAATGCTCCAAGGGTGACTTCCCTCCATGCTGGGCGTAGTAGACTCCGAAGACCTCACGTTTTTTGGGACGCGACCAACGGTGGATCACAGAGGTGGAGGGTGGGGCCAAAATTCGACTCCAAAGCGCACGGACCAATGGAATAGACCTGAGGAACTAGTAGAGAACCACAGCTCGGAAACGCTTCTGCAAGGCCCATTTAACAAAAGTTCGCTGGGAAGCAACATTTCTGGGCACACCAAAGCCTTGGATGACCCCTGCGAACAAGTGCAACACGTGAACCAGAGGTTCTTTTCTTTGTATCTTGTGAAACTGTTGATGTCCTGTATCATATGTCATATGTATCTCCTTCTGAAATTCATCGCTCATCCCAGGTTCGTCGAACCATCAACCCTGCAGACCAACCGTTCTGGCGAAGCAGTTCCTATCCCATCGCTCGAACTGCTTAAGGATCTCCCGGTGCATCGCTCGGCGTCCAAGGACGTGTCACATCGAACGACCAACTGAACATCAGTTTGGACTCATTTAAGGTTCCCAGCGCGACACTGGGCCTGGGTGTCCAGTCTGGTGACTTAGTCCAGCAGTGTGGGGTTGTCCGGTAAGCTGCTTGGAAGCAGCTGGTTGGTCTTGATGGATTTGGTGTTCTTCTTTTACCACAACATCAAATGGATTGACTGCCAACATCCGTTTACCTAGCCCTAGCCCAGTTGGGCAGTCAATCCATCCACCACCCGTTGGACTCTCTGAGAAAGAGATGGGCCGCAGCCCAACTCTCCTGGGGGGCGGGACAGGACACGAAAGCGGTGGCTTCACAGCTTCAAACGTCAAACCTTCCGGAAACAGGTTTTTGGGCGTCCGCCGTGCCTCGCCTGAGCCGACCCCAGGGGCAACGCCTCTTTCCCACCCGAAAAACCATCCAGTTTCCCAGCGCCGAAGGGCGTAGTCTGCCACGCCCCAGATGTTCGACTTACCTCGGGTGGGGGTGGAACGCTCGACGCGGATGACCCGGACATCCATCCGAAGACCAGGTCCTGGTAATTTTCACTCCCTCACTCCTGGTCACGATGATCCTGAAGGAGTCCAAGGAACTCCTTGGGCTCTATGTCGCATACCGAGGGCAACCAAAGTATGGTTGGTACCTCCAAATCAGGCCATGGACTCAAAGGGACGTCTGATCCCGAAAGAGACTGAGTCAAGTGAATCCCCTTGAAACATGCATCGAACAAGGCTGAAGTCTCCAAAGAACTCAGGACTTTCGTATACAAAACAAGAATCCAAACAGTACTTAACTGGCCAAAAACCGGAACCCAACGATTCACACCGAACCACACACTCATACCAAACCACCCACCACAAACCAACCGCACACCGTAGCAAACCACACGCCGATCGCCGGACCCTCCCGATGTTCCGCTCGCCACGCGTGGGGGAGCCGACCGCGGAGTGCGCTGGGTGGCCCGAGCACTCCGAGGGCACCTCGTGGCATTGGATGATCTCCAAGTGCCGACAGGCATCGCCTGGCGCAGCTAGCTGTGGGGCCGTGGGGCAATTAGATCGGGGCGGTCTGGTCTGCGATTCACCTCCAAAACCACCTACCAAGAGAGGTGGAACGTGACCTGAACTAGGACCCGTCACCTGGGGTACCCAACTGGGATAGTCTAGTTCGGGTCCTTGAACCTCTGTTGGTAGACCTCCCATCTCCATTTCGCCGCACCGCACCGAGCGTCGCCCACGGACCGTCCTACGGCGCTGCCGACGGCGGGCTCGTGACTCCGCCGGTCGGCGATGCAGCTGGCCGTCGACTCGCTCCAGCCTGGAGGAGACCCGACCCCCTAGGAGGCTTGAGAGGGGGGGAGAAGTGTTCTTTTCTTGGGAGGGCACATGGAGGAGCCCTATGGCCCTATTGAGAAACAACCCCTCCCTCATTGATCAGCAGGTCCAGTATGACAGTATCTCCACGGCACCAGTTGTGGAACACGCCTGGTATAGAGCTGACGGCAAATGGAAGATTTGAAAGCAGGGCTCTGTTGTGTTCCCCAACAAAATTGATCATTTCTTTGGCAAGTGTTCAACAAGATCAGGCCTGGTCATCTCCTAGATATATTGACCTCTGCACATGATGGCCTGCCCAACGCAATTGCCCAACACCTGGCATCCATTCTTTTCTGAAGTCCGTTCCATGTCCTTCCACCGTGTGTTCGACCCAGTGCCTGACCCAACCCGGGGCACCGCGCCCGCCCAGCTGGGATGGCGTCGCAACTCCGCGACCAAGGCGCTGAAGGGCCGTAGCTGGCCTGGTCCTGTTCGACGGCGCGAGGCATTCGGTTCGCGTCCGTTCGCCTCCGAGGTGGAAACACGACAGCCATCGCAACCGAGCGCACCGGATGGAGACAAGGGAGACTGGTACACGGATTGGCAGGTCAACACCAAAAACAATTTTAAAACAAAAACACACACACACACAGCTCGCAGCCACCTATCTGCAGCTCATAGCTGTCATAGCTCCTACCATTTTGGTGCTTGCACCACTTGTGCCAGCACTCACCACTTCTGTGTCAACCCCCACCTGGACTGCTGGCGTTCACGGTGGCGATGCTGCGGCGGTCGAAGCTTTGTGCCTCGGATCCGGAGGAGTCAACGGGCAAAACTGGAGGAGTCAAAGGGGAAGTCCTGAGAAAAGAGACAAAAGAACTCCTGCAAACATGATCGTCCTACAAGCGTTTTTAACCCCATAGGACCTAGGACCTAGTTAACTACAGTTTTCAGGGTCCGTGTGAATCGTTCGTGTCCGGAGAAGGCTTTCTGATTGGGGCGATCATCTTCAGATCATGAAAGATCGGGAGTCTTTCGGACAGTTCCCACCGTAACAACCACACCTTGGCCATCAGCGCCGGGGGTCGAGTTGGGGGAGGAGGTAGGTATACGAAGGAAGTGAAAAGCATCGGCAAACAAACAAAGGTACACTGCCCTATACCTGCAAAGAAGAGAGAGAGAGAGAGAGGTGTACAAACATCCAAGTGGGCAGAGTATCAAAAGCATTGAAGGATTTAGAAGACACAGTTCAGGTATGATGATTGCATGAGTCAAATCCTCCAATCCGTCGAAACCTTGAAGGATGCTCATCGACGAAGCCATGCGCCGAGGCCCCAACGAAGGTCCTCAGCGCTGCTGCGTCTGAGACCTGCGTCCGACAAAAACGACCAGTTCGAAGTTGAAGTTTTTGGAAGACGTCGTAACAAGTGCTAATTGAATTTCTCTTTGAGACTCTTTGGGGGGCCAAGACCCTGGGGCCGACTCGGCAAGACACCCAGGGGCACCCCTGTGGTCCGGACCGGGCGGTGCGGTGTCCCGAGCGCCTTGCCACCCATGTGGGTCACCAAGCGTTCCTGAGTGAACCACAGCGCAAACGGGCGGTGCTTTCTATATAGAATATTTTTCTTTTCGTGTATTTTTTTTGATTACTTTTCGTCTTTCCATCAGTGCTCTTTGCTTTTGTGTCTTTTTTGCTTGTCCGCTTGTGGAACCAGAATATGGGTGAACACCCCAACCAGCACTAGTCACTAGGACCCTCGCCACATCGATCGACAGCGTGGCGTTCGAACGCCGCGATCGTGCTTTCTCTCTCCATCCGACGTAGAAACATATCACCTTCGGAACATGTACTAACACAGCGTTTCTCTCGTTTCCTGTTGGGGTATGCCACACCGTGCCCCTCCACCCCCTCCTCCCCCCAAAACACCAGCAACACAACACAAGAGAGAAGAAAACACACATAACATCACTTCCTTTTAGCACCAGCTTGGTCATCAGATTGTGATTGGAACTTGTGATTGGTCACATCCTCTCTTTGTTCTCTTTGGACCCTTTTTGCCCCCCAAGCGGCCACGAAGATCTGCATCTTCTCGGGGCGTCGCTGCCTGCCCCACCGGGTCGGGTCGAAGGGCTAGAATCCGTCTGCCTTTTTGGAGCTAATTCCTTAGGAACTGGGTGCAGGCGTTGTTTTAGAAAAGCTTCGCAGTTGAGCACTGTTTCGGCCGAAACGATGGAACAACTGATGGAACGGACAGTGACTGGCGCTGGTGGCAGGTGGCGGCAGACCTGCCCAAAAGCCGGTATACGCGTTTCTCTAGGTCGGATGGATTTCACCCGACTTTTCATCGTGAGAGTGACGGGCTATCGATCCCCTATAACTTGGATCCCGAAGAACCCTGTTGGCTCCGTTCGAGTCGCGATGCCCTTTGCTCCGTTCGTAGCGATGCCAGGAGCCCCGAACGTAACGTCCTTGCTACCGTGTAATCGCAGCATCTTCGACCCGAAATCGCTCGCTTCGCTCGCAGCCGACAGCATTCCGAGCGACAGTGTCAGACAGCATCCCTTCAAACAGCCCTGGAGAGCTGCACCAAACTCATTCAACCCAGATCGAGGCTCCACTCATGAATGTCACAATGTCATTCCGCTGCAAACTACAATGCAAAAAAAACACTCTATAAACATCTATCAACGAGAAAACACGGCGACAATGCCGCCCAAGTTCCCGAAGAAGAAAGACGCATCCCGCTGGACAAGACGAACATACCCACACGGAAAGAAAAGGACAACACCAGATCGACTCTCAGAAAACAAACATAAAGAAAGAACGAGCAGTTCCTGAATCAAACCCTGGCCAATCAAGCGGAATCGAACGGAACCCTGCCCGCCCAAACCCTGCCCAAACTGGGGCCGCGGCTCTGCGATGCTCCGGTAGCCCTGGGCGGTCAAGGTCACCTGGTGAAGCGGTTGTCTGCCGGAGCACGGTGTGGGAGGTTTGGAAAGGAAAAACCGGACAAAGAGAAATGGCTTCTGATATGGTATGTACATGAGTCGACGTTCTCGATGGCAGTTGGTGTTCCTTCTTGCTGAAACAGTTGGGTAGACTTTCTGATGCT